GCACAGGTTTGCAGCGAGTCCTGGGGTGGGAGGCTAGCCCCACCCCTGCTAGCAAACTTCAAGCTTTCTCCTAACATTTTACCCTGAAGGGTAAAACTGGGGAAATGATTTTCACCTTGTAGACTATTAGGGGAGTTTGATGAGATAAAGTGACAACGTGGTGCCTGGATCTTGATAATATTCTGCAGCTCAAAGACCATCCATGGCCCCCATTGTATAGCAGATAAAATCTAGACCCCTGTGACCTCAACCTACCTCTCTAAATGAGTCCCCCTTCTCCCTAGAAAACTCACACTCAGTCACACCTAATACATCTCATCTCTGCATCATTCTCCACAGCCGCTGTCTTTCTGATGAAGCAGAGGGCTCCAGGAAAGACAGATGGACATGGAGCAGGCAGGGAGGAAGGGCTCAGTCTGTCCAGCCGGACAGGACAGTTGGATCAGCCCTGGTTGTCCATGAGGCGCCCACCCCCATGACCTCCTCCTACTTGCCAGATGTTTATTTGTGCTTCCTAGCTCACGTTAAGCACCACCTTTTCTCACTTCGGTTCACAGGATCCGGTGTCTGAATACTACAGAGACCATTTATGTCCTTGGCTATCTATCACCTGCTACTTTATGTTGTTGATGGCCTTGCAGGTGTTTATCAATATTCCCCTGGATGGAGGGAAAGCTCCTGGAGCACAGGAACCACGTCGATGTTGCTGGGACCTCCTGCCATGCCTGGCACCCACACAGTGTTTTCATGACTTACATGCATCGTTCTATACTTTGCAAGAAAACCGTGAGGAAAGCACTGCTTTAAACAGTTGTTAGTAAAAGGGGTCACGGAGGGACACAGATTTTTCTTTCCACCCACGAAAGGAACTCTTGAGGGTGCTGGATTACTGATGAGATACACAGATAGGTGTTAGGCCTACGTGTTTCGGGGATTCTAATGAAGCTATTGCTTTCTCTGTACCTGAGTGTGACTAGAATGGCCAGCCAACAACCAATTCCTCGGATGTGTGGCTCCAGCTGCCCTTATGGGGCCTGGCCCTGTGGCTTTGCGCCTGACCGTCCATGGCTTTCTGCTGCTCTTCTCTTAATGTCCCACATCAAGTTCTTCTGTCCCAGCTTCTCCTGAGCAAAGTCGGTGGCAGCTGGTGTGTAGATGTTCTAGTACTATCTTCTGTTGATTGAGCAGATATTTCTCCAGGAACTGCATTGTTGTAGACACTGTGGGGCGGATCAAAGAAAAAAACACACCCCTCTCTATCTGAAGGTCAGCACCGTCTGTTTTGAGAAGCCAGCAGTTCACCTGATATGTTACCATATTCAGTAGCTGTATGTTCCTTTTCATCTTGGGTTGCTAATATCCCCCGATTCATGTTGATTACTGTTAACTTATATTTTTAGAAGATTTTTTTGTTTGACCACTTTTTTTTAAATCTTCACCTGAGGATATGCTTTTATGGATTTTTAGAGAAAGGGGGAGGGAGAGAGAGAGAGGAAAAGAGAGAGGGAAACATCGATGTGAGAGAGAAGCATGGATCCGTTGCCTCCTGTATGGACTCTGAGCAGGGGTCGGACCCGAAACCTTGTAGTGTACCAGACGACACTTCAACCAAGCCGCCCGGCCAGGGCTGTTTGACCAATTTTTTCCTGTGAAATTCCTGTACGTATAATGCGTTACGAGGTTGAAAGGCTCCGTCCAGCTGAAGGAGCTACTGAAGGAAAAATTATTGCTCTACCCTTTTTTGGAAATTTATGGACAAGAAAAAGAGATCTTTATTTTAATGAAATCAGGAAACTTTTAAAATATCTATGGGTCTTCAAAATCCTGGGAGACAAATTATTATTTACCTGTTATCTTGCTCATGTTAGCATATGAGTTTTAGGAAGATTAAATTTATGTTCCTGTGCTGTTTCTAGGTCCTATATGTACACTTTACATTGGAGAAACTCTACCATATGACTTGTATAACTAAAATGTGTGCTGTATTTATACCCGTGTTATTAAAATGCTGTGAGGCAGGGCAGGAGAGTGGGGAAGAGCCGTAGTGGGCTCCAGACCCAGCTCTGAGACTAAGAAGCTGCCTGACCTTCAGCACAGCCCCTCCCAGGGCCCCCGAATTACATCCAGTCAACCTGAGGCCTTCCCCAGTCCTCGTGTCCCTCACCCTGCCCGTCTCCCTCCTTCGCTCCTCCTCTTGTTTAGGAAATAATATGAAAGACCACAAAGCCCTTTTAAAAAACTACCTAAAGTGACTGATTAGGCTCCTGGGTGACTGGGGCAGGGAGAGAGAGGAGGCTTTCCCCAAGGAGAGAGTCTGAGCTGCATCCGGCGGTCGGGGGAGAGGGGTTTCATGCTTTGTCTTAAAATTTTTCTGTCTCCTCAATCAGATTTTAAATCAGTAAGTCAGTTCTGATAGTAAAGGCCAAGAATATTTTAATAATGTGCTGTTTGGATAAAAATCTAATGAATGGACATTCTGAACTGATGCCAAACCCCAAGTAACCCCCAGCTCTCCGACACGGCCGGCCCCGGACTGGATTCCTCCTGGCCCTCCAGATGGCGGGCTTGGTTTTGACAAGCTTAGGTTTTCTGCATTCACTGATTCCAGAGCCACTTTGTATTTCCTGCAGAGATTCTTGGGATATTTTCTATTTAATGATAGAGCCTTATCACTAAGATCCCTTCAGCATGGCTTCTATGAAATCAGAGGCCTGGCCCTGGCTGGTTTGGCTCAGGTTAGAGATCAGCCCGAGGACTGAAGGGTCCTGAGTTGATTCCGGTCAAGGACATGTTCCCCATACCTCGGCTGTCCTGATGTGTGCGGGAGGCAACCAGTCGATGCGTTTCTCTCACATCCATGTTTCTCTCTCTCTTCCCCCCTTCCATTCTCTCTGAAAAGCAATGGAAAAAATATCCTTGGGTGAAGATTAAGAAAAATTAAAAAATAAATGAGGCCTGGTCTGCTAAAATGTGACATCCTGTTGTGTGCTGTGTCACAGTACAGTTTGGCATGTGGTTTCTAACAGGCTTTGAAGCCAGTCCCTTTGTTTACTGTCACTCAAATCCTCTCTGGAATGACAGTTGACAGCAGGGATGCTTCTCTGGGAATCTGTTGTTTCACTAGTGTTGTGTGTATCTGTTGTGTGTATCGGTAAGATCCCCTCTTAAAAATTTTCTCAATGTTAATTTTTTTACTCAGTATAAAAATTTGGAAAATACGACATCTCATCAAGGAGAAAATAACAATGACCCAGATTTCCAACATGCAGAGATGATCACTGTTCACATTTTGGTTTATTTGCAGTCTGTGCTATTACCTTTCATGTGTACTTCAGTAATTTTTACTGTAAAAATTAACAAGCCGAGGACTGTTAGTGCCACTAGACGTTAGGTTTCTGTCTGATAGCCTTGGGCGTGGTGTTAGCCAGGCTTCTAGCGCAGTGCCGGAGAACAAACAGCCCTCAGCTCAGTGGCATGTGGCAGTGACATTTATTTCATGCTGTGATGTGCAGGCTGGCTGCAGTGTGAGCTCAGCTGGTCAGCTGAACTAGGCAGGAGTTCAGGCTTCGTGTCTGGCCCGCACATCACCATTTTAGGGCCTTGGCTGAAGGATCAAGTGCTACCTGGGCCCTGCTCTTCTTCTGGCAGAGGGTGGCTGGTGGAAACTTGCCATGACCTTAGCTTAAAATGGGGGCATTACCTTTTCACCCTCCTTCTGTTGATCAAATCAAGTCACCTGGCCGAGCCTGAAGTCAGTAAGGTAGAAAGAATACTCCTTTCATGGGGGGAGGAGGGCACGGTGGATTAGTTTGGGTTTGCTAGGACTGCCATAACAGGACCCGGTGGCTTAAACAGCAGAAATGTATCGTGTCACAATTCTGGAGGCTTGAAGTCTAAGGTCAAGGTGTCAGCGAGGTTGATTTCTTCTGAGACCTCTCTGTCTTCGGCTTTTAGACAGCTGTCTTCTTCCAGCCTCTCCACATGCCCTTCCCTGTGTGTTTATTTGTTCTAATATCTTCTTATAAGGACATCAGTCATATTGGATTATATCCCAACCTCATCTAACCTTACATTTCTTTTTAAAAACTCCCATTTCCAAATATGGTCACATTCTGAGGTTAGGACTTCAATCTACAAATTTTGGGGAGACCCAATTCAGCTTATAACACACGGTAAGGGTGGGAGACGAAAGGAAGGATGGTAGACAAAGAATATCCCAGGCATTTAACCTCAAGCGAGGCTCGGCTTCCTCATCTTTAGAACAGGGGTAAGCATCTGTGTGCTCTGGGTTATTAAGGACCCTGGTGGTGGAGATGGCAGGGAGGGTGTGGTTCTCCCTCAGATGGGAGGACCAGAGGCAGCCTTCCCGGGCCTGCCCCCCGTTCCTGCCTCTCGTGGGGAGCCTGGTAGTGCGTGGGCTTCTCGGAGCGGCCTAACACAGCGGCTGCATGATTGGTGGAATCTTTGTGTCAAAGTCAATAGGCCCTTAGAGCCTTTCGGGGAATTTCTTTAGCAAAATTTAAGCTATTATTAATTAAGTAAAAAGAAAACTTGCTTGTCTGACCACTTCAGCTTTGTTTTATGCCCATTTCATATTGTTGTCTGTGTTATAATTCACACTTTTGGTACCATTTCCAATGTATAAAACTGGTTGTCTTTTAAATATCTTTTATGAAGGGTTCAGTTGTAAATAAACTATTGTGGCTGTTGAAAAAAAAAATTAAAAACTATGGCCCCAGTAGCACCATGTTTCCATCCATGAGCTATGGGTTCAGCATCCCTTACCACAAATACTTTTGAAGACCTCTTACATTTTAACAGGGCTGTGAGCTTCGTATGGGCAGAAGGCACTGCCCTGCTCTCACGGGACTGCGGTTGAATGCCTGTGGGAAAACATAGCAAGCCGGGAGGCCGGAGGAGGAAGTGTCCCTCTCTCTGCTTCTACCTTCAAAGCCAGCGGGCTTACACTTTGTAAATCTCCTTTTCATTTCCTCCGCTAGAATATTGTGCTAAGGAATGGTTCCGAGACCTTTGACTCCTGGAAGAAGCCCCCTCTGCCTGTGTACAGCTGGTTCTATTTCTTCAACGTCACCAATCCAGAGGAGATCCTCCGAGGGGAGATCCCTCGGTTAGAAGAAGTGGGGCCCTATGTCTACAGGTGAGTCCCGACCGGCCCTGCTGTCCTGGAGACACGGAGCACCTGCGCGCGGCCTGGGCCCTTTCCTTTCCCCGGCTTTTCCCGCGAGCACCCTCTGGGTCATGGAGCACAGGATTTCACTACATCTGCGTGAGATGGCTTTGCGGCCTGGGGCTGAGGCTCAGCCTGTTATGTTTAGAAATGCAGCTGCTGCTTTCTGGGTTATTGAGCCATGAAGAGCTTACTCCTCACACCCAACCCTTTTAAGGTCACCTTGTGATTTTCTTTGGTGACTTCTAGAGCCTTTCCCTAGTTCCTTCCCCCACTCGTTTTAGACCAGTTCCTAAAATGTGTTGGCCTGCAGAAAGGCCTTCTAGTCTCTTCTTCATTCCTCCCGCCACCCTCCTGGGCACAGGAGACAACCGGTGGTAGTACAGGTTAGTCTTGGGCAGTGATCACAAAGTCCAAACGCAGGGGGTTAGGAGAATTGCTTTAATTGTTGTTGTTTTCAAAAATTAGGAGAGAGAGGCACTTGGGGATCTTATGGTCAGAGCATTTTCCCTACTAATTGTTCCTCATCACACAGTGACAACGGCCCCTCCCCATAGTCATCTTTCCTGGCAAGTGTCTCCTTATCGGGTTTAAAAAAAGATAGTAGAGGGAAGTAGACAACAAGGTCTTTCTTCTTGAACAAAATGGTAGAAATTCCTCACAATTGTGTCGCAGTGGGTTGTCGGTAAATGGTTGTGACCGATTCAGTTAGTGTGAATGAGTCAGTAGGGTTCTCAAGTGCTGGACTCAGAGATAAAAACCTGGTCCTGCCTCAGGTGGAATTGCTTGTTTTGGATCCTGCCTCTGCCACTTTCTAGTCCTCTGTGGCTGGGTTTCCTTATCTATAAAATGGAGATAAAAAATAGGACCTCCCCCACTGGGTCCTTAGGGCTCCAGGAGTCTAGGAGTCAGTGTTTACAAAGTGCTCAGATAGGGCCGGCCCGTGAGTACTGCTGCTTGCTGTTGTTACTAGTCTGAGTGGATCACCTTAGTCTGTAGAAAGTGACATACAGAATCGTAAAGGTGAGCTCCCATGTTATATAAAAGAATATTTAAAAGACAGGTCTTTATTTTATTTTTTAAATCCTCACCCGAGGATATGATTTTATTGATTTTGAGAGAGAGAGGAAAACAGAGGGAGAGAGAGAGGGGAAGAAAAAAGAAAGAGAGAAAGATCGATTTGTTGCCTCCTGCTGATCCCTGACCAGGGATCAAACCTGCAGCCTTTTGATGTCCAGATGACGCTCCAACCAATGGAGCCACCTGGCCAGGGAGCAAGGCTTTATTTTCAAAAGCACTTTTGTATGTGTGTGTGTTTTATGCTTAAAAAAAACTCTGTACAAGGTAGAGCAGGTCTGTCCCTTTCAGGGACAAAAGAAGTTGAACTAGAATCTGGGTGTCCTATTTGTTTGTTTTGCCATTTTAACCATTTTTTTATTGTGATAAAAACCATGACATAAAACATACCATCTTAACTGCTTCCCCGTGTGCAGCTCAGTCGTGTTAGTTATATTCACAGTGCTGTGAAACAGAGCTCCAGAACTTTTTCATCTTGCAGATCTGAAACTCTACACTATTAAATCACTCCCCCTTTCCACTGCCCCATCCACAGGGGCCGCTGCTGTAGATACTTCATATATGTGTAGTCATAAAATATTTGTCTTTTTGCGGTTTTTGTTTTTTTAACTAAATTCCTTAGGATGAACTGAGAACAAAAGGAAAACCCTTACAACTTTCCCTCTGGATCTCCTGGGTCTGTCCCTGTGGTTGTGACCCTAATCTCCTGAGAAAAATCAGGGGTTCTAATCACAACTCAGAGAAGCCCAGCAGGCTTCCCTTAGAGCGTCTAGGCCATTGTGTCTGCTGGCTTAATGTTCTGTAGCAGATGTGGTCATGGGAATAAATAAATCCTAGAGGTAAAACAGTGTTCAACTATTAACATACACCCTGCATGTTCCCATTTTAGAGGGACCTAAACTTACTAGTGAGGAAAGCCCAGGAATATCTTACAGCAGCTCCTAATCCAGCATCCATGGATCTCTAAGGGATCCATGGATAGAATTTAAGGTGGTCTGATTTTGTTTATTTGGGTCCTCTCTCTTTGTTTCTTGATGGGCCTGGCTAAAGGTTCATCAATCTTGTTTATCTTTTCAAAGAACCAGCTCTTGGTTTCATTGATCTTTTGTATTGTTTTTTCAGTCTCTATGTCATTTATTTCTGCTCTGATCTTTTTATTATTTCCTTCCTTCTACTTACTCTGGGCTTTTCTTGTTACTCTGTTTGTAAGTTTTTAAGTTGTAGGGTAGATAGTTTATTAGAAGTTTTTCTTGTTTTTGAGGTAGGCTTGTAGTGCTATGAACTTCCCTCTCAGGACTGCTTTCATTGTGCCCATAGATTTGGAGTTGTTATGTGTTCATTTCCATTTGTTTCCAGGAAGTTTTTTATTTCTTTCTTGATCTCTTTGGTAACCCATTTATTGTTTAAAAACATGCTATTTAGCCTCCATGTGTTTGTTTTTTAGTGTTTTTATTGTAGTTGATTTCTAATTTCATGCCACTGTAGTCTGAGAAGATGCTTGATATGATTTCAATCTTCTTGAACTTGTAGAGACTGTTTAGTGTCCCAACATGTGGTCTATCTTTGAGAATGTCCCATGTGCACTTGAGAAGAATGTATATTCTGCAGCTTTGGGGTGGAATGTTCTGTAAAGGTCAATGAAATCTATCCAATCTAGTGTGTCATTTGGGGTCACTGTTTCCTTGTTGATTTTTTGTCTGGAAGACCTATCCAGTGAAGTCAGTGGGGTGTTAAAGTCCCCTAGTATGACTGTATTGCTGTTGATCTCTCCCTTAAAGTCNCTGCTGCTGACATCTCCTTTAAAGTCATCTAGAAATTTTTTTTATAAATTTAGGTGCTCCTACATTGGGTGCATATATGTTTATCAGGGTTATATCCTCTTGTTGGATTTATGTAGTGACCTTTCTTGTCTCTTGTTATGGTCTTCATTTTGAAGTCTGTTTTGTCTGATATGAGTATTGCTACCTCAGCTTTTTTTTTCATTTCCATTTGCATGGAAAATATTTTCCATCCCTTCACTCTTATTCTGTGTGAGTCTTTTGATTTGAGGTGGGTCTCTTGTAGACAGCACATATTTGGGTTATGTTTTCTTATCCATTCAGCCACCCTATATCTCTTTATTGGGGCATTTAATCCATTTACATTTAAGGTTATTATTGATACTCATCTATTGCCATTTTAATTCTTTATGCCTATGTTTCTCTCTAGTTCTACTTCTAATTACAGCATTTCCTTTAACATTTCCTTCAGTGCTGGTTTGGTGGTGATAAACTCCTTTAGCCTTTTTTTGTCTGGGAAGCTCTTTATTTCACCATCTATCTTGATTGATAATCTTGCTGGGTAGAGTAGTCTTGGTTTCAGATCCTTGTTTTGCATTATCTTGAATACTTCATGCCATTCCCTTCTGGCCTGTAGAGTTTCTGATGAGTATTATTGATACTCATCTATTGCCATTTTAATTTTTTAAATTAAGTGATTTTTTTTCGACCCTGTCTTCTAATTCACTGATCTGATCCTCAGCTTCCTCTAATCTGCTGTTTATTCCTTCCAATGTATTTTTTATTTCTGCTATGTCATTCTTAACTTCCTTCATAGTTTCCATATCTTTATTCATGCAGTTGAGCATCCTTACACTCAGTATTCTGAACTCTATATCTGATAGATTGCTTATCTCCATTTCATTTAGCTCTTTTTCTGGAGACTTCTCTTATTCTTTCATTTGGGGCTTGTTTTTTTGTCTCCCCATTTTGGCTGCCTGTTTGGGTTTGTTTCTTTGTATTAGGTAGATCTGCTAGGACTCTCAGTCTTTTTGGTGGGTCTCTGGTGCAGGCCTATGTCAGATGCAGTTTGTATCTGGCCCTGAGTACCCTGTTTGGAGCTATCAACAACCCTCGGCTTGAGGTCTCCTCTGCTGGGGCTGAGTGTGTTTGGACAGGGCCAAAATGCACACCAAAGTCTGCTTTTCCAAGGCCTGGGTCCAGAAGCAGATCAGGCAAAGACTCAAAGCACTCTGAAGTCTGCCTCTGCCTGCAGGCTGATTAATCTGATTCTCTTAATGAGCTTCAGGCTGTAGAAACTCCACAGTGTGGGGTGGCTGATTGTTATCAGTCTCTTAAGGAGCCTCAGGCTTTAGAAACTCCTTAGGGTAGGGGGAGAGGTTTTCCAGCGGGGTAGGGTGGTAGGATTACTTTTCCCCCCAGGCAAAAGCTGCAAATTGTCTACCTGAGAAAGATGTCCTCTGCAGTATGGGGGAATGACTTGGCACAGGAATCCAGGTGGGTGCCCCTTGATCTCACTCTCCAGAGCCCACAACGCTAGATTCTCCTCCCACAGCTCTAGTCCACTCTCCGCTCCCTCTGCCAGAGCCCAAGGTGAGTGGCTGCACACAAAACTTTTTGCGTTGGCCCTTTAAGAGGGTGCCTGCATTCCCAGCTGTCTCTCCCTGGCAGACAGAAACCCGGCTGCTTTTCACAGCCAGACGTTATGTGGGCACCTTTCTCAGTTCCAGTGCTCTTTGCTAGGAAGCCCAGCCTGGGGTTTAGGCCCCAGAGTCCTCAGTGGGAACCCCCACAGCTGAGACCGTCCTCGGGACCTTCAGTTGTTGCCTGTGGGAGCCCAGCCAGCCCTCTGGTGCCTCCGCACTTCCTACCAGTCTCTGTGTGGGCTCCACTTTTCCTCCTGGGTTATGAGGCTGCTCTTCAGCTTGTCTTCAGTGGCAGTTGATTATTCAGGATGATTTTTCTGTATTTTAGTTGTAATTCCAGATTGGTCCCAGGAGAGTGTCAGTGTAGCTTCCACTCAGTCCACTGCCATCTTTAATCTTGTCTCAACCTTTCTTAATGACTAGGGCCACCGTTGAATAACAAATATTAAGCTATAGTCCGAGTCTGTGATGTCCTGGGACCTTCAACACCAGCAGCGTTTATTGGCGTCTATTAAGTACCAGGGACCATACCATGCACTTTCAAATATGGTTCCTTAATTAATTGAATAGGCCTAAGATTCGATTTGTTTTTTAAAAACAAAAAACAAAAACAAGCTTCTGTTTCTATTTCTAGAAGCCTCTGGTTTTGTCAGGTACTGTAAAGCAGTGATTGACCCGTCTTGCTCTCAGTCTGCTGTTCACCAGAAGACCACCCTGCTTCTAGTTGACCGTTGCTGACCAGCTGTGGGGGAGATTTTGGTAACCAGATGTGCTGGTAGAGTGGCTGGTAGAGTGGCAGGAGTGCTTGGAAGGAGAAACATTTTGGGTTTCCTCTGACTCCGTGTTCCTCTGGCTATATGACTATATGTTGTTCTGAGAGGGAGGCCCCTTGCTGTCTCTCTCTTTGGTTTTCTTGGCCTCTGCAGAGGGGGAGGCCATTTCTGACCTCAGTGGAGCTGTCTTCCTTCAGTTAGACCGCTCTGCAAAGGCCACATGTGAGTAATGCCTTTGTGTGGCTGAGGCTGAGGGGAAGTCATGTGGTAGCTGTGAGTGACCTGTCGTGGTCCCTTGGTGACTGCCAAGTTGCATGGCTTTGACTTTTTGAAATGTATTGAGAAACCCAGTCAAGTCACAAGGCTTAACGTGATTGGAGCCCCCATGCTCAGCTTCCCTTTAAAACACCAAGTTCTTACAGGGTCAGCCATAAAGAAAACATTTTAAAAGCCATCCCCAGAGTCAGTACACATAAGTAAACATAAATGATGCAGGCTCTAGGGTTGGGGTTATTGAGGCCTCTAGGTTCATGACCCAGGGCTCAGTGAAAAATAAAAAAAGCTTCAGCAAGGTCATCAGTTTTGTCATTAGTCAGAAAACTTGGCAAAGTTGATTCCTGGGTTTTTGTCCTGACATTAAATCCCAGCTGTTTGCTCCCAGGCCCAGTTTTCTTTGCATGTAAACTGGTGTTCACCCTGGGATCACTTTTTCTACTTCTAGTTCCTTAGTGGTAGGCTAGGCCAGTGTGGGATCCTGGGCCTTGGCTATAAATGAGTACGTCTGCAGAAGTCTTTCCCTCTTCACCTTGGCTGCAGGGAGGCTCTGGGACAGGGAGGGGGGAGGAATGCCCCTCTGCAGGCACCAGCCTTGGCAAAGGCAGGGATTAGTCTTTGAAATTTCCTCTCCTTCAGTTGCTAAGCAATCACTTTGCATTAACTTCTCTGTAGAGTCAAGGAAAACCTTGGACATGAAGTCAGGGGACCTTGACTCTAAACCTTGTTCTGCCACCTCCTGGTTAGTCCTGGGCTAGTTACTTTATCTCAATCTCCCTTTTCTCATCTATAAAAAGACTGGGTTATGCTTTCTATGTGAGGGGGCTTTGGTTGCAAGCGAGAGAAACTGCCTCTGGCCAATTTAACTAAAAAGAGAATTTATTTGAAGGCTTTCTAACGTGGGTTACAAATTCCAAGTTGAGGCTGGGAAGAAAGAGGCAGGGTCCAGGGCAGCTTTAAAGACCTCCATTTCCAAAACTCAAGGATCCTTGCATTGTGTGTGCCCCCTGGAGGAAACTGGTATTTTGACCGTGTTTTCCATCTGGAGGCTCTGTGCTCAGGAGACAGAGGCCCAGGGAAAAGAATTGGACAAGCTGGGGTCCCACACCACTGCCCAGTGCAGGAGAGAAAAGAAAATCAGGGCTCTGACAAAAGAAAAAAAGGGAGATTGAATGTCTAACAATCGAAAGTCCACCACAGATTCCTCCAACTGCAAATTGCACAAGTGTTTTAACAGGACGGCCTCTATCAGGTTTTGTATGTATTCCTCGAGAATATATTTTGGGACCAAACCTTAACCCAGGAGAGAGTTCATTGGCTTTGATTCCCTGCTCAAGGTGACCCTTGACCATTGCATTTTCCAAATTGTGGGAGGAAAGAATGAAAATGACAGTTTTTTGAGAAGACTCTATCCTAGGCCTCATTTCCTTCTCACATTAGAACTTTAATCTCCAGTTTTTACAGAGTTGGTATCTGCATGCAGTCTCTCCTTCTAATGGTTATATTGGGAATAGTATATTGGAAATGACTTTGATACTGAAAGAAGGGGGAAATATTGCTTTTTAAAGTAGTGACTTTTCAAAGAAAATCTATTTCTTTCTTTTAGGGAAATCAGAAACAAAGCGGATATTCAATTTGGAGATAATGGAACAACAATTTCTGCTGTTAGCAACAAGGCCTATGTTTTTGAACGAGACCCCTCTTTTGGAGACGCTCAAACTGACTTAATCAGAACACTAAATATTCCTGCAGTGGTAAGTTAGCATTTTAAGTACCATTATTGTGGGTTTTAGAAAAAAAGAAAAAGCTAACTAAAGGCTACTATGGCTTTACATTTAGGATCTAAGTTATGTTAAAAATATACACACATAACCCGGCTGGGCGTGGCTGAGCAGTTGAGCATCGACTTAGGATTCAGGAGATCGAGGTTGGATTCCTGGTCAGGGCACATGCCCAGGTTGCGGGCTCGATCCCCATTCAGGGGCCTGCAGGAGGATCCATGATGACTCTCTCATTATTGATGTTTCAACTCTCTCTCTCCCTCTCCCCTCCTCTCTCTGAGATCAATAAAGATATATATATACACATACACACACACACACATACATAAAAAGAAAAATACATTTCCCCCTGCCCTTCTTTAAAGTTTATCTCAGATGTTTTTCTGAGGTCTTTCAAACACAGTCTTTGTAACAAAATGCAAATTTTAGGAACTCTTCACAATTTCTTGCTGTGTGTTCAAGATCAGCACTTGTGTAAATAATTATGTCTCTGGGATTTTCCTGAGTAGCTAATAATTTTTAAAATATTTATTTGTCCCTTGCTTTGGTTCAGAAACTCTAGCAATAGAATTTGCATACCGCTTCTTAATTTAGATTTCTACCTAAGATTTTTAAGTTCTCAGTATCTATATTGACTGTTTTTCCCCATTCCAAATAACAGAGACTGGGCTTTTGATTACAGCCTACAGTGATTTAATTGGGCTCTGATTATAAGGGCAAATCCATCTAATAATAACACGTTTGATATCCAGGAAATACTCCTGTTCACCTGTACCAACCCCCTCCCACGCTAACTCCTGGGTGCCCACATGCAGCTGGACACTCATGGTGGATCCAGGACCTGGAAAACATTAGATCCCAGATCTGGCCCTGTCCTGCTGTCTAGGGGTGTGAAGTTTATAATGAGGGCCCCAGCCTCTGGCCCCCAAGCAGGAGGAAGGCGGTGCCATGTTGTGGCCAAATATGCCGATGTAATTACAAGCGCTTTCCCCTTTCTTCATGCTATGTGGGGATAACAGGGCACCAAGTGGTGATGCTAAGCTCACTGTTAAAAATGTAAAACTGAAGGGTTTTATTCTTTTTTTAAAATATATTTTATTGATTTTAGAGAGAGAAGAAGGGAGAGGGAGAGAGAGAAACATTGATCAGTTGCCTCCAGTATGCACCCCACCCAGGCACCCAACCCGCAACCTGGGCATGTGCCCTGATCAGGAATCCAACAGCGGTCCTTGGGGTACCCAGGACAGTGCTCTAACCAACTGAGTCACACCAGCCAGGGCAAGAGTTTCATTCTTGTGCACTCGGCCAGAGAGCTCCCTTGATAATGTTTCAGCTATTTCATCTCAGTATTTAAGTGTCCGTCTCCCTTCGCCTTCGGAGAGGGGGCGGGTGGGCTGTTCTCTGAATTTGCCTCTGCTTCGCAGACTGCCATGGAGTGGGCCGAACAGGGCATCTCCCGGATGGTCATCCAGGCCCTGATAAAGGCTTATCAGCAGAAGCTCTTCGTGACACACACGGTCCACGATTTGCTCTGGGGCTACAAAGATGAGATCTTGTCCCTCATCCACCCTTTCAGACCCGACATCCCTCCTTATTTTGGCTTGTACTATGGGGTAAGTGGATTTTGGGGTTCAGAGCCTTTTTGTTCAGCTGAGGGGTACCCCAAGCTGGATTTCATTTTCACTTTGGGCTTCTTCTAGGAGAAGATCAGAATTGCCTGGAATCCTAGACCTCTTGTACAGTGTGTGAAAAATAAGGAAGTGTCTCAGTAGGGGGCAGATAAACTCCTACAGCACACTGCCAGCCCTGGCTGTGCCTGCGGGAGCTGTGGAAACACAGTGTGGCTGTGCCATCAGGTGCAGTGTCAGCCTGTCGTGCGTTTCAGTGCGCAGTGCCAAGTCTCATTATGATGATTTGGGGATCCCTGTTTCTCTACAAGGCCCATTTAGGGGAAAGCCCTGGACCGTCTCTCAGTTAGATTCCGTGGATTTCCCGTATCCAGGGGGGAAAATGAGACTTAGAATCCGAGGGCCTAGATTTGCATTCTGACTTTTCACGTAGTAACTATGGGACTTCTCTGGACCTCCGTTTCATCATTTCTAACTTGAGACTAGAAGGACCCACACTTCAAAGGTTGTTTTGACACGGCTAAGTGAGAAGTCTATGAAAGTGCGTTTCAAACTAGGAGTTAGTTGCAAGACGCATTCCAGGAACCATCACTCTTTTTCCCCTTCGTGACTGGTTGGAAAAGAATGACCCTGCATTAATATAAATGACTGGTATTTGTTTTCGTTTTGGAGCCAAAGTTTCTGTAGTGTTCGTTGGTGGGGGGAAAGGCAATGCTTTTTGTTCAGTTTTTATCGGCTCTGCCAAATACTAACTCTCTAGCCAGTAGCACAAAAGTCCATTCAGTGGCCAGGCCAGGCTGTGACGTTGTGCCCCTGCCCAGCCCGGCCTCGGACCTGCCCTCAGTCCTCGTGGGCCCGCCAGCTGTCCCCTCGGACACCGAGGCCGTGGGCCTGCTCCACCTGCTCCACCTGCTCCACCTTAGCGCCACCAAAGACTGTCAGGACCAAACGACCTGACGCTTTAAGGGGAGGAACAGGGCGTGGGGACCAATAAGATGAGGTGTACCCCCAGCTCCTGAGAAAGGGAGATGCTTCAGGATCAGGTACCCGCGTGCTCACTGTCGGGTCTGTGCCCGCTGACCCCAGGCCCTGCCCTCCGTGGTGGAAGAGGGCCGGGCACTCACGGAGCTGCCCCCGACGTGTAAAATGCCAGCTGTCGGGAAGCGCCTTTGAGGAGCGCCGTGTAGCCGCCCTGCCCGGAGGTGGTGGTGCTGGGGTTGCGCCCGGGTCCGAGCTGCAGGCACAGCCTCAGGACGCTCCTCGGCCTCCCGCAGCCCTCGCGTCCCCGCCGCATAGCACAAAGCCTGCGAACCCGCCTGTCCTCGCGGCAAGCTCTGGGGAGAGGCAGGGACGGGCACCTCAGCCCCCGACCTTGGGCGGCAGCAGGCGGGAGAACCCTCAGTTACCCGCAGCGTGGAACTCTGACCACTTAGGGACTTCAGGAAGCATCATACGTGCGCGTTTAAAGCCGGAGGTTCAGCATTTTTTCACGCGGGGTATTTGAATTTGTAACCAAGTCGTGATGTTCATGCTGCTGCTGTAGAGAAGAGTCCCATCTCGTTTCTTAAAGGGACATGCAATTTCACATGTGGAACACGCATGACCACTATGCATGTGGACCGTGTTGATACATTGACACAGTTGGCAAAATAATGTTAAGTGACAAAAAGAGAACCCCGTAGGCAAAAAACACACATAAAAACCAAAACTAAAACAAAAAAAGCATGAAAAGAGAATTCACAAAGGGCGTGAATGTTTTTCTAAGGTTTTAATACATCATTCTGTATTTTCTAATAAGAATTTATTACGTTTATAATCAGAAGAATGTATTACTTCTATACTCAGAAGAAAACCCCATTTTAAAAAGAAAGCAGAATACAAGTACTGGGCCTCAGTTTATTAACCCCAAATGTACCTGCACTAATACCCCCAAAATACATCTATGACAAAGCTCGAAAAATAGAGCAATGGAAATAGAATAGTCTTTGGTTATTTTATTATTCTTAGTATACCATAAAGTGTCTGTCACATAATAAGCGTTTAATAGTAAACATTTAAAAGAATGAAACAATTGGCTTATGCAGTTGTGGGGGCTGGCAAGTGGCAAGTCTGAAATCCATGGGACAGGTTGGCAGGCTGGAAACTCAGGCAGGATTTTTATGTTGCAGTCTTGAGAATTTCTTTTTTTCTCCAGGAAACCTCAGATTTTGTTATTAAGCCTTCAACTGATTGAATGGGCCCACCCACATTATCAACGGTAATCTCTTTTACTTAAAGTCAACTTACTGTAAATCACTTCTACAAAATATAGCAACATCTAGACTAGTGTTTAACCAAACACTGGGCACCACAGCCGATCCAAGCTGACACACAAAACTAACCATCACGTTACTTTAAATGATCATATTCACTTATTTTCAGAAAAATGGGACTAATGATGGAGACTATGTTTTTCTAACTGGAGAAGACAATTACCTTAATTTTTCAAAGATTGTGGAATGGAATGGTAAAACGTAAGTCTAATGATTCATTAGTGTAATTATTTTTCAATGTTCATTTCAACTGAATGTCCGTTTACATATTAATTCAAAAAAATTTTAAAATTCATTTTTGGATGAAAAAATAAGTATGTAAAATATAATTATTTTGTAAATCAGCATTGAGATAATGCAGTTGACAAATTGAATGTGAATGGTTAGTCTCCCTCTTCTACTTGGTAGTCGTTGCCGATGTGCAGCTGCAGGGCCGATACTTTTCAAACGACTATTTGTTTGGGGAAGACAAAGGAGTTCTCTCTCTTTAAAAAAAAAAAAAAAAAAAATTTTATCAACTTTAGAGAGAAAGGAAGGGAGAGGGAGAGAGAAACATTGGTCAGCTGCCTCCTGCACACCCCCTACTGTGAATTATTTGTGTTATTTATTTTATTATTATCTTCTTAACCCTCACCTGAGGACGTGTTTATTGATTTTAGAGAGAGTGGAAGGGAGAGAGAGAGGGAAACATCGATGTGAGAGAGAAGCATCAATCAGTTACCTCCTGTACCTGCCCTGACTGGGGACTGAACCCCCAACCTAGGCATGTGCCCTGACCAGGAATCAAGCCTGCAGCCTTTTGGTAGATGGGACTATGCTCCAACCCACTGAGCCACCTGGCCGGGGCTGTGTTATTTTTTTAAAAGATGAAATACATTTGAGTTCGGAATGATAGTATTTCAAAAATATTTTTTAATATTTATAACATAAACAAATTACTTCCAAAAAGTTGCTGAGGCAGCTTTCAATAAAGCTACCTATAAAACAAGGTAATTTTTTAAAGTTAGAGAAATTAGAAACCTTCAAGAGAAAACGAGGCTCATTCTTCAGGGACTGAGGGAAGAGGAGTTCTGTTCTTGAACATTAAATTGACTTCTGAGCTCCCCAGAAATACAGGAAAAAACTGCAGTGGAATATAGGGAAACACTCTGTACTATCTTCACAACTTTTCTGTAAATATCAAACTATTTTTAAGTAAAAAGTTTATTTAAAATTTGAAAAGCACGTACATAAACATATTTGTACGCATGCGCACACACACAAATACATGAGATCCCTGAAAGAATATTTAAGAAACTGGCAACAGTGACTTCTCGAGGGGGAAGTGTGTCTGGGGTTCTGGGCTAGAAGAGAAATTTACTTGTAAACAGGAGGTAACTGGATTTTGTTTAAAACTCATTTTTTTCAGTCTTTTAATAGAATTTAATCCTTTTATATATGTGTTATAATTACTGATACATTTATGGTATAATGATATCTTAATATATTTGGGCTTATTTTTTTCTGGTTTATGTCTATTCTATCCTTAGATTTTTATGATTCATATTTAACAACATTTTTCTAACAAAATCTGAAGTTATTTATTGTCTCTCTTCTCCTTCCAAACAGGACAATAATTTGACTCATTTCTTAATACACACACACACACGTATTCTGTGTTAGGATCTGTGGGTAGTAAACTTTCTTAGACTTTGCATATTTTTAAATGTCTAAATTTCATTCTCAGATTTGAATCACTTTAGTTAGGTGTAGAATTCTAGGTTGACAGTTCAAAACTGTGAAGATATGACTCCACTGACTTTTGATGTCTATCTTTTTCATTGGCCTTTTGCAGTTTTACTACAACATATCCAGATTTGAATTTATTTGTATTTATCCTGTTTGGCCTTTGGGACATATTTTCAATCCAAGGCCTCATATCTTTCTTAAATTTTGAAATACTTCCAGAAATTAGCTCTTAACTTGTTGTTTCTCTGTTATTTGCTCTATTTTCACCATCACAACCCACCCCAAGACTATTAAATATTAATTGGAACTTCTCCGTCTATTCTCTCTATCTTAATCCTTTCCTTTTTAATTTTTCTGAGCTTATATTTGTATAAATTCCTTAGAACTATCTTTTAATTAACCAATTCTCCCTCCAACTATGTGCAGTTAAGAGTTTTATACAGAGTTTTTCTTTCAGAAACTATTTTTTATTCCCATGATATCTGTTTTTCTTTTTTGGATCTTGTTTCATTCTTTCCTTTTTATTTTAAAAATAATTTATCATTCATTTCTAAGGATGTTATTCTTTCATTGTTTCATTTAGCTCTTTGAGGATACTAAACATATTTTTTGAAGGTATTAACCAAATTGTTCAGTTATTTTCATTTCTTCTAACATGATTTCATCTTCTCATTGTTGATTTTGTTATCTCTTAGTGTAAGTTTCTTTCATTAAAAAAAAAAAATGATTTGCAGAATTATTTTAGTTGGGAAGCCCAGTAGCTCAACTGTGCTTTTAGTGAGCCTGAAGTCAATTCAATATTAAGCTTTCTTGACACCCAAGAGAAGACTCCCATTAATTTTGGAACAGAGAACTGTTCCAAGGAGAGACAGTAAATTCTTTGTCATGAATGTTAAAGAGATGAACATATCTATCCAGAGCTTGTCTGTCAGGCTATTATTAAGGCTAAATTAGATCATTGTTTTAAGCAAATGGATATTTCTAAACTTCTCTGTGTTAGGATTCCCCTTTTCAAGGAAGGAAAAAGGGATTTTTGGCCATCACTTCTATCAAAATTGATTCGAGGGTCAGGAGCCTATTTTTCCCGTCTTGGTTCAATCCCTGACCAGTATCACCGTGTCTGCATATGAAGGAGCTTCTGTGGATAGCCAGCTCCTAGTTAGGTCTTGAAAAGTCCTGCCCATTTGAAAAAAATAATCTAAAATCAAATTTGATACTCGTGACTCTTCCTTACGCTTGTCAATTATAGGTCACTTGACTGGTGGGCGACAGACAAATGCAATATGATTAATGGAACGGACGGCGATACTTTCCACCCACTAGTAACCAAAGACGAAGTCCTTTATGTCTTTCCATCTGATTTTTGCAGGTAAGAACTTTAAATATTTCCTTTTTTAAAATGCTGTAGGGGTGAGGTGTGAGTGGAAGGCAGTTTCCATGCGGTCACAGCCCTGCTGGAGGTGTGTCACATCTCTGGTTCCGAGGTGAAAGGTGAGGCCCAGAGCCCGTCGTCCCGGCCGCCAAGTGAAGGGCTGAAGGATCGATTCGGACAAAGTGCCGGTGGGAAGGGGCTTTGTCTCTGAGGTTTCCCCCGCTATCCGACAGTAGACTGTTCCTAGGAAACTTTTTTTTTTTTTTTTAATATATCTTTATTGATTTCAGAGAGAGGAAGAGAGAGAGAGAGATAGAAACATCAATGATGAGAGAGTCACTGATTGAGCCCGCAACCCGGGCCTGTGCCCTGACCGGGAATCGAACCCCGATCGCCTGGATCCTAGGCCGACGCTCAACCGCTGAGCCACGCCCGGCCGGGCTGAAACCTTTTGAAAGCTGATTTGGTGTAAAGCGAAGAAAGCAGTTATTAATGTATATGAAAAATATTTTGAACATTCCAAGATGCAAAAAATAACCCAGTATGCTTAATTATGTCCAGATTTACACTAAGCGTAATACCTTTATGAGCTCTCTTAGTGCTTTCAGTGCCTTAGGGCACATCCCACTAACGGATACACAGACTAAATCGAGATCAAGCACAGACGCTCGCAGCACAGTTCAGAGCCACGGGGCTCCATGCCGAGATGCCGAGTGTAGCTCTGGGGAAGGGGCTCGGGGGGCCACTCTCACTGCTTGGGTTGCCCGCGGCCTCTCTAGGGAATGCCTTGCTGCAAAACAAAGGCTATTTTACTTTTCACCTTTTCCCATGAAAGCAAAAATCCTCTTCAGATTTCTTTCAGTTAGCAAAAGCAGGTGCTAATGTAGGCCTTTGGTAGAAGCAAAGGAGCATGAAGCAAACTTCTGAAAAGTGGGGGCGACCTGTACCCTGGTGCTATACAAACAGGAGGGCAGTTAGCATTTCAGGGACCACTGAAGCTCCACTAACAACTGAAGGCAGACATGGGCCGCCCTCCACTCAAATCACCATGGGCAAAATCTGGAAACCTTTTCCGTGGGGGAAATGCGCATCAAAGCAGGTATCCTAATCCGGTGTCTGCCTAACTGGGTACTTGTCCTGGCCGAGCTTTGGCTTAGCCTCTGCCTCGCCCTCGCCCTCGCCCTCGCCCTCGCCCTCGCCCTCGCCCTCGCCCTCGCCCTCGCCCTCGCCCTCGCCTCCTTTGCTCTGCTTCCCGCATGCTGGCATCCGTCCCTGCTGGTCCAGACCCCTTATTTCTTTCAATATGAATTTCTATTTTAAATGTCATCTTCTCTTTTTAAATATGTTTTTATTGACTTTAGAGAGAGAGGAAGGGAGAGGGAGAGAGAGAAACATCGATGTGAGAGAGAAACATTGATCGGTTGCCTCCCGCACACACTCTGACGGGATCGAACCCGCAGCCCGGGTCTCTGCCCCGATACCCGGCAACCTTCTGGTGCACAGGATGACGTCCAACCGAGCCACACCAGCCAGGGCCTCAGTGTCATCTTCTTAATTGTCTATCACAGATTTTTTTTCTTCTTGGCCTTGTTTGGATATTACCACCGTTGTTACCTCTTAAACGTCTTCCATTACAGTTCATCGACTTTCTAGGCATTGAGTGGGGGGATCGCATCTTCATGTTTCGCGTCCCCTCTAAGCTCTTAGCCGTGTCAAACCTGAGAACTGTTGCTGACTTACGGATTCAGGCCAGATTGTGCTGACTGGAGCCCACACTGACTTTTTGTTCTTACCTCCTAACAGGTCATTGTATATAACTTTCAGCAACTATGAAAGTGTACAGGGACTGCCCGCCTTACGGTTTAAGGTGCCTGATGAAATATTAGCCAACAGCTCAGACAACGCTGGCTTCTGTATCCCCACAGGAAACTGCCTGGGCTCAGGAGTGCTGAACGTCAGCGTCTGCAAGAACGGTAAGAGGTGCCATGATGCTGAGTGTCTGGAACGCAGGACTTTGATTCCTCAACAAAGAACACTGTCAGCCCAACAGAAAGAGCAATTCTGACCTTTCAAGAACAACGTTTTATAATGTGGCTATAGAATGGATGAAAAGATGGAATAAAATTATTGGCTTCCCGGTCATGGCTTTTACTGCTAGAGTGCCATGTTGTGTTTTAGGTGGGCCGTAGTTTAGAAGCCTTAATAGTAATAAGCTCATATTTACTAGCACTTACTATTACCAGTCACTGTTTTAAGTGCTTTATATATGTACAAATAGTTAATACATTTCAAGCACTAACTGATTTCTTGTTCAAAACAATGCTAAAAGAGAAAGTGGAGAACTCGGTAATGAGAAAGTACAGATCTTGGTTAAGATTCTTAGTGACTTCAAAGCAAAGTTAGTTTTAAACTCTGACTGCCAATTTCTGTTTTTCTTAACGTCAGAGCTACTCTGATCCTTTCCATCAATGAGGCAGAATTATCAGCAGTACAACTGAAAACATCATTTTCTCCATCTGAGAACTAGTTTTAACAATCATATGTTGCATAATTATTTACAATGCCTTTGCTAGAGAGATATCTAGTGGCCTCTTTTTATAAATGTGGACACCAGGGATCAGAGAGGGAACATGATTTTCATTAAATTCTTCTCTCTCAGCAAGTCCTTGTTGGAACTAAGGTCTTATATTCATCCTGTGACTCTTCTTAGGCTACAATTCCTCTTTACAGTTTCTCTTGAGAAAGGTTGTAACCCCTTTCTCCTGAATACAGTAACATGCTAACTTTTGCCCTCCTGTCTAATTGGTTTGAAAATCTCCTTTTGGGTTAAGCCTGAGGTCAGCAATATCTTCCCTTTTCTTGTCCGATGGGGCAGTGCCTCCAGACCTGGCCCTGCACCAGGATTATCTGGAGAACCACTAAACATATCTGTCCCAGGGCTCAAATACTAGAGCCCCGGAATCTGTACTTTTAACATTATCTCCAGGTGATGAAGATCATGGCCACAAACATGGGGAGCACTGTGCCAGTAATCACAGCACCCCTCACCTAGAGAAGACCAAAGATGAATGGGAACAAGTTTCTGCTCTGACCTCTCCTACTGCTTACTGGGTGAATGGTCCTGAAACAGTGCCCTGCCCACTCAGCCCATGCACTTCTGGCTCCAGGCATAAGTGTGGATGTATTTTTGTCTTGTTAACATTCTGCTACCTCAAGACATTGATGTCAGAATGAACAGGAAGGTTCTATTTTGCAACAGTCAAACCTTGCTACAATTTTCTTCCTCTTGCCTCTTGTGTATTAGTAAATGTGGATTGAAATGTTACCTGTTCAGGATTGTCCTCAAGTGTTTTGAATCCCCAGGGCAACATTTTGGATAATGGGATGAGTGAGTGTTCTGGAGTTGGGGAGATGTGGGTTTGAGTCCTAATCTGTTTGTTAGCAAATTGACCAACTTGATTAAGGAGGACTCTAGACATCAGTTTTCTCATCCATAAAAACGGGGGTGATTTTAACTTCTTTGGAAGCTTGCGTGAAGGCTAGAGATAATGGATGTAAAACACTCAGCACAGTGTCTGGCCCTTATTAAAACCTCAGAGTTTAAANGGCTAGAGATAATGGATATAAAACACTCAGCACAGTGTCTGGCCCTTATTAAAACCTCAGAGTTTAAAAAATACATTTTAAAGGTGACTGTAGATCACAAAGAAGGAAATTATGGCTTTGTGAAACAGTTTAGGAGTAAAGAGCAAAACATCAGTGTATATGATAGATGATGTGTGCGTTGAGCTTATGGAACTGGTGGATATGTAAGCAGAATGAAATTATTTGCCAATAAGCTAATTTCTTCAAAAATATATTTCCCTGGTAGCAGTTATTGGGTCCTCTCCTCTTCAATAGAAAAATCTAAAATAGGTTTTCTCTAATAATTTGTTTCCGTAGTTGTTTCTTAAAATGAATAGGAAAGGCAAAACACACGTGGGCATGCATGCGCGCGCGCACACACACACACACACACACACACACACACACACACACACACACACACACACACACAGAGTCTTCATGTGGGCAGACCTTGATCTAGTCAGAGGCTGGACAGATGTCAGGACCAGCACAGTCTCCAAATATTCTGCATCAACATATGCCAGAGAACAACACCTATCTTAGATAAAGTAAAAACAGAAAAGCAAGCCAAAAAAAAGGCCATTTACTGGTAGAAAATTGTAGTTGAAACAAGGGTTTTAAGTGGTTTGAACTAAAACATCCTTTATTCAGTTAGAATTCTGCCTCATCACCTGATAGCTGAATGTTTCTGGCTAAATTTTTTCTCTTCTCTGAACCACACTTTCCTCAAATGCAAAGTGAAGATAGCAGTTCTGACTTCATAGGGCTGCTGGGAACATTAATTAAATAGTGTGTATAAAGCATTTGTTTGTATAGGCTGAGTAAATGTTTGTTGAAGAATAAATAATTTAGCTGGGACTTAAATATATGTTGTGGAATAGAATAACGAGATGTCAGGAAGTGAAGCATAAATCCTGACTGAGGAGGTGAGAATGGAACTCTGGCCTGCCCTCTCCCGCCTTAGGAACCAGGATGGTGGTGAGGAGCTTTATACTTGTCTTAGACTTTTCACAACCACAGCATTCATTTCTGTTTTCATTAAAACGCAGGTGCACCTATTATTTTATCTTTCCCACACTTCTACCAAGCAGATGAGAAGTTTGTGTCTGCTATTGATGGCATGCACCCAAATAAGGAACATCACGAGACGTTTGTGGACATTAATCCTGTGAGTACATGCCTGTTTCTAGTAAAAGACCAACGTTTCATTCTGTCTATTCAGTGTTCATGGTTTAGTCTTTAGCTCTCTTAGGTCTACTGTCTTCCTTTCATATATAATCAAATGTAGGAAACTCAGGTCAGTACAATGTAATGCATAGTCTCCTAGTCTCCCATTTGAAAGGCTGAATTCTGTGGATCTGATATGCAGAAACACCAGCAAACCTGCTTTAACAAAAAGCAACAGTGAAATTTCATTGAAAATAACTGAGATTGGACCCAGGTAACCTGGTCAATCTTCTGTCACCAGCCTTGGACCTGAACATGTATATATTCCTCCCATGGGGGCATGGATCAGCAAGGTGGAAAACATTCCTCTGTTTATTGCCAGAAATGGTTTGGTTAAAATTTAAATATATATTAGCTTCAGTCACTTTTGGCAGACCTCTTCCTACATGTACTTTTGAGAGTTTATATTATTCATTTAAAAGGCATCAGGTATGCCCTGGTCAGTTTTGCTCAGTGGTTAGAGCATCGGCCTGTGGACTGAAGGGTCCCAGGTTAGATTCCAGTCAAGGGCACGCACCTCGATTGTAGGCTCAATCCTCAGCCCCAGTCAGGCTCGGAGTGTGTGTGGGAGGCAACCAGTCAGTGTGTCTCTCTCACATCGATATTTCTCTCTCTCTCTCCCTTCCATTCTCTCTGTAAAAATATCCTCAGGTGAGGATTAAAAAATTTTTTTAAAAATAAAATAAAAGGCATCAGATATACATACACTTTGATCCTATATTCATAGAATAAAAAAACAAAAACCATGTTAAAGGGATGTGAATATTGTTTCACAATGTGACAGTGTGACTGGAAATCAGGTTTGGCTGTCTGCCCCCAACAAAAGCCAAACTCATGAGACGGGTGCTGGTGCAAAAGGAAAGAGGCTTATTCATGTGCCACGACCTGGGAGAATGTTGGATTCCCATGTCAAAGACCATCTTCCCTTCCTGTTCAAGCCTGTGGTTCTTATAGGGATAGGGAGGGGAGGGCTTTTTTTTTTCTATCCAATTATCTTTCTAGCTTTTGGCATGCTGGGTCCTGTCCATTCATCTTTCTAGCTTTTGGCATACTCAGTGTAAGAACCTCCCCCTGTGCCATCTTGGCCAATAGGGGAGATTCCCCAGTGCTCCCTGACTGTAGGAACTGAATTAAAAGTCAGATATCTTCATTCTTGGGCTTTTGAACACAAGGCACAATAAGAGAAAAGCAAAACATTCTTTCAGCACAGCAGTCTAGGGGCACTTCACTCTTACCTACACTCAGTGCATTTGTATCTGAGAAATCAGATATCTGAGATATTTTTTGGTGAATAAGGTCAGGTGTGGCTTTCTTCCTTTTCTTAGCCACCAGTAAGTTCCTTTTCATTAACCAAACTGTTAGCAGGTGCTTGTTACCAAGGGATTGACAGCAGCAGCTGTTCCTCTGGGGTTGGGCCCTGACCATACTTGGGCACTGTTCTCTGGCAGTGACAACCATCCTCCTGACAGGACATCTGTTGGATTGCTCTTCTGCCAGGGCCTTCTAGGGCTCTGCTATTCAAAGTGGCAGCATCCTGGGAGCTTGTTAGAAATGCCCAATCTTAGGCCTCATCCCAGACCTACTGAGTCAGAACCTGCATTTTAACAAGAACTCACATGCATATTAAAGTTTGAGAAACATTGGTCTACCAGGCACCTAAAAATAATCCACATCTGTCATTTTGTTCTGGGGTCAGTGTTTTCCTAGTCCCACTGTGCCTATCAAACATGGCAGTGGTCACCCTGTTTATCAGAACCACACAGAAATGGTGCTCTATTTTTTTTTTAAATTGTGATTGTGGTTTTAATAATGTTTTCTTTCCACTTCTCTGATTTGCAGTTGACTGGAATAATCCTAAGAGGAGCCAAGAGGTTCCAAATCAACGTTTATGTCAAAAAAGTAGATGGCTTTATGTAAGTTTTGCTTCTTTCTACAGAGGCAAAGGGTAGTTTTCCTACATTGACTTTCTGGTGGGGTTGCTGTCAGGAGGGATACAGCCTACTTCTAAGTCCGCTCACACCTTCTCCTGGGATAAGCATGACCAGCATTTCCTTAGGCTGCCTGGGTCTTGGAATTTACTTATTTTATTTAACCAAGTGCATATAGAGTGCTTTCTATGAATCAAGTATTGTTCTAAATACTTTACATATATTAACTCACTTATTTCTCACAATAATCTTGTATTATGCCCATTTCATAGATGAGGAAAAAGAGGCACAGAGAATAACTTGCTAGGACTCACACAGCTAATAAGGCTATAGAGTTAGCTCTAGCCCACTCCACTGAGCATTTCCCTCGCCATGATTCTGGTTGCCTCCTCCCTTCCCCACCACTCCCACCCAGGGCCAGCTACAAGCTCCACTTGGATAGTTAAAATGGTCTCAAGTCCAGCCTTTCCTCCCCACACTCCGTCTAAAAACCACTACTTAATTAGGAGTCCTAAGTATAGTCTCCTACTCATCCTTTTCAATGGAAATTTTTTTGGATATAAGAAAATGCTTATGATTTAATGTTGAATGGAAAATGCAGGATACAAACTATGCATAATCTCTATCATCTATCTATCTATCTATCTATCTATCTATCTATCTATCATCATCTATCTATCTATCATCTATCTATCATCTATCTATCTATCTATCAATCTATCTATCTATCTATCTATCTATCTATCTTAATCATCTATCTATTCTACGTATGTATGGCTGTTTCTATCAAACTTGGTTGGTTCCCCCGTCAAATTTGCCATATTTAATCCCACAATTATGGATCTTTCTAGGAAGCAAATGTGGGTTGCACAAATGCATTTGTCACCCGTATGTATTTCTGAGGCAGTATAATTTAATAGTTAAGGTCTAGTGCTTTAGAATTGAAATGGAATTACCATCCTGGCTCTACCATTTATTCTGGTGGTCCTGGACAAATTACTCTGAGCCATAATTTCCTCTCTTAAACCTGGGACAGTAGTACCTACTGCATGGGACTACTGTGGGAATTAAATGAGATAATGTCCTCAAAACACCGGGGCAGAGCTGGTGCATGGTAAATGCTCAGTGATTTTTCTGGGCTCTTGTGAAGATGATACCTGGTAGCCTGGTTACAAAATATTCTGAGTACTGACAGCATTGTTCTGCCAGTTGTAGCCTCCCCTCTGACTCTGGGAGAATTGTAATCATTTTGATGACTTTGCTTTCAGCATTTTGTGTATTGATAAAGACAGTTTACGTGAATATACAACTCTTGAAATTGCTACACTGTCAGTTTGGAATCTAACTTCTGATTGTTATGTGTTTGCAAAGATAACTAAGCCTCTTTAAATTCTGAGTAATTCAATGAATTAAGTGTGCTGGAATTTTCCTACAAACATGTCTTTCCAGACCAGTGTGCCCTCACACTGAGGATGTCTATAAGAGCTCTCATCTTTTGTCCTTACAGTGAAACAGGAAACATCAGAACCATGGTCTTCCCAGTGATGCATGTCAATGAGGTGAGTCTTGGGAGAGAGGCACGGGTGTGTTTTACCTGTGGAAGTTTGGAAATCTTCCATGATGGTGTCTACTATTGTAGCTATGTGTGAGGGGTGGGGAGAAAGATGATTTTTAAAAACCTGTTTGTCCTCAGAAAATTTGTGTTTACATGAAGCCACTTATGTCTGAGATTTGAAAATAAAGAAGAAATTTCCCTTCTTGAGAACATTATTTGGGTAAAACTTCCTTCTGGGAAGCTGGTTGTGTAATAAACAAAATGCAAAGGTCAATGAAACAATGTCAGACACCTTTGAAACAGAATAAACAGCCAACACTCAGATAGATGTCCAGTTAACCCCTTCTTTGTGTCTCCTCCTTTGAAACCCTGCCATTTTGTAAAATGTCACCAGTTTACTGTTCATTATTTGAGGAGGAAAAGAGAGTACAATTAAAGTGATTGGCAACATTAATAAAAATGTTGCGTAAGGTGGTTAAAGAAATGGTTAAATAGAATGTGATACATGCCCATTAATTTCAGTGATACATGGTTGCCCCCCCAACCCCATCATTGTAGCATAGAGTTTCTTCTACTTCCTGGTAAACAAACATATCGTGAATAACAGGAAATAGATCCAGTCTTAGTTCAAACAAAAGGAGTTTCCCTGAAGAAGTATTTCTTTTGCATTGTACCCACAGAAATATTCTCTCTAGGCCCTGACTGGGTAGCTCAGTTGGTTAGACCATCCCGATAGGCCAAGATTGTGGGTACAGGAAGCAACCAATGAATGCAGAAGTGGAACAACAAATTGATGTTTCTCTCTCTGTCTCTCTTTCCCCCTTACTCTCTCTCTCAAAAATAAAAATAAAAATAAATATTCTCTCTAAATGTTAGGTATAAATTGAAGTTTTTAAATAAAAGCACATTCTGAAAGCTCAGAAAATACCCACTACTTAAGACACTGGTGATAATTTTTTTCTGAATCACATATCACATTGACTGTAGTTCTGTCTCTTCAGTTTCCCTCTCTCTTCCACCCAGTTTCGAGGGGAAAATTGGGTTTTTCCCCCTCAATAAATCTCAGTTGACTGGTTTTGTTGTTAATAGCAGCATTTTTTAAAGTTTATATTATTTTAAATCTTCCCTAAAAATACTTGTTCTTTGTAGAAAATTTATAACACAGATTAAAGCAAGAAAAGGGAAAAAAATTAAAATCACTTTTCATAAAACCTGAGTCAGACATATTGCCTTTAACCTGCTTTATTTTCCTCACCAATGCATTGTAACATTTTTTTCTGATAACAGCTTTGTGAAACTAATATGTGCTCTTTATAGAACTCTTGGGAAATTAAAAAGTATACATACTGCCCAGCTGGGCGTGGCTCAGCGGTTGAGCATCAACCTAGGACCCAGGAGTCTGAGGTTCGATTCCCGGTCAGGGCACATGCCCGGGTTGCGGGCTGCAGCCGATCAGTGACTCATCATTGATGTTTCTGTCTGTCTCTCTCTCTCCCTCTCCCTTCCTCTCTCTGAAATCAATAAAGATTAAAAAACAACAACAGTATACATACTTAAAAGGATAACCACTGCTAAGCCTGTCCCTGAGAGGAAAGTGCAGCTGACATCTGCTCATGCCTTGGTGTTATTCTAATTTTGATATTACATGGTTGAGACCATACTGTAGATAGTTTTATACCCTTTTCTAATTTAGCATTATATTGGTGGCCACATTTATAAACTTGTGAAGCATTTGTGATTTCAATGCTAAGAGGAGGCTTTTATTGTTTCATAGGAAAAGTTCAGGCAATATTTTCCATTTTATAGGACCTGTTTACACTTGCTCCTGGGCTATCATTGTTGTTATTTGTGGGAGGAGCATGAAAGTAGGGCTTTTTGAAAGTGAGGAATGGCCCTGCTTGGTGAGCTTTTGTTCATAGATGCAGCATATTTGAAGTCCCCTCCACTCAAATTTTTGCTTTGATTTTTTTGTTAAAGATCAAATTGAATCCGGGGAGACCTGGAAGTGACCTTGGAGGCTGCTCTTTCTCTACTCCCTTTTCCCAGAGGAGACTGACCCTGACAGGCCTTGGCCAGTTCCTGGAAAAACCAGCCCTATTTTCCCCAGTCTCTGCCTCAGTGCAAACTGAGCCTAAAGTCCCATTTGTTACAAATAAATTTTATGAAATTAAGCTTTTCAGATACCTCACCCATGACAGTTTAAGGTGATAATACCTTTGTCCTTCATAAAGAAAGTGTTATTCTAGAACATTTCCTTAGTTAGGACACCCTCTGGAATTCTGGTTAGCCTTAAGACTTCCTCTGAACACTTTCTGTTGACACCTCTGGTCCTGATTAGTATGGATTTAACCAAGAGAGAAATTATACTTTCCCTTTACTGTTGTTGGAATGTTTCATTCATTCATTCATTCATTCATTCATTCATTCATTCAACCTACATTAATTGAGCACCCACTGTGTTCAGGGTGCTATACCCATTGTTGAGGTGACTGAAATAAAAGTTTTGCCTTAGGGAACCTCACAGTCACAGGAGACCAGCAGGTAAACAGACAGTTTCAACGCAGAGTGCGAAGACAGTGATGGAGGGAGGGTTTTAGAGAGAGCTGAAAACGCAGAAAAGGGGCCTTTAACAAGGACTGAGGTGGCCAGAGAAAACTTCTGGAAGGAAGTTATGCTGAGCTGGATTTTAAAGAATGAATTGGACTTATCTGATACAAAACAAAAAATGATATTATCATTATTTTTGAATACTTTTCTTCCTCTTCCTTCCACCCTATTGGGAGAGTAAAACCTGTCTTCAAGAGAAAAGGAGAGATGTCAATGAATAAATGCCCCCTCTGGTTACTCTAACTTATTAATGGCTTTTCTGTATCTCTGGTTTGCTAATAGGAGAACATACCCAAATTGTGTTTAATGATTTGGAAGAAAGATACAGCAAAAAGTTACACCCTGGATATTCAGTAATCGAGGCGATACTGTTTTCTTGCTCCCTTAGAACGTTCTCATTGATAAAGAGACTGCGAGTCGACTGAAGTCTATGATTAACACTACTTTGATCGTCACCAACGTACCCTACATCATCATGGCGCTGGGTGTGTTCTTTGGCTTGGTCTTCACCTGGCTGGCGTGCCGCGGACAGGGCTCCATGGATGAGGTGAGCAGCGGCTGGAGGCATTTCTTCCTGGTGACTTGACCTGAGGAATTCAGCTGGGGTTCACGGAAGGGCTGTCAGCTTGCTCGCTCGGGTGGATTCTGAGCCTGTATGCTGGCACAGTGATTGCATGCTTGTATTACTGCTGGACCAAATGAGAGGCAAGGAGGGGTGAGAGAATGGCTCTGTCCAGTGCTTGGGGCTCTTGTGGTGGGAATGGAATCCCTGGGAGTAAGCTTTGCGTCTTTGAAAATAACCCGAAGGAAAAGGAAGGATATATCACAGCTAAGCACCTGGGATTTGGTGTCAGACTGCCTAGGTTCAAATCCCAGTGCTGACACTTAATAGCTGTGTGACTCTAGAAACCGTGCCTCAGTTTCTTCATTTGTAAAATGGGATAATACTCGAGTTTCCCTGAGGAGTTTTTCGTGAGGATTAGGTCATAAATATAAAGCACTTGGCCCAGTGTTAGCATTTAGTAAGAGCTCAGTAAACATTAGTTTTATGATAAAAAACAGCTCCAAGATTATAAGGCAAGGCAACCAGGACCTTCTTGGAAATAATTTGTGATATATTATGAAAGATACTCACCCAAGTCATCATTGCCTCATAAATGATTAGCACAGGGGTTGTAGTTCCTTTCCTGGAGGGGTGGGAACAACCCCGAATGGATGGGATAAACAGAGTTGGGAGGGCCTCCTAAGTGACCAGCAGGCCAACCCAGGGGTCTAAATACCTTCAATGAGCCTTTTCTGTAGGAGCCTTTCTTAAATTCTCAGCAGCCTCCCTTTTTGCAACAAGACTGTTTATTTTTTCTCTTAGCTGCCTCAGCTAATTGTCTGAGGCCCATGTGAAGTAGGAAATGAAACAGGTTTAAACCATCTGAATAATATTAGCCCAGATTTCCCGTCTTCCAGGTTCTTCCATTACGTTTCTTAGCCCATGCCCATCGCATTACAGTGAAATAGGGGTGAGGCAACTATTTTGCTTCTTTTATGTGTTTTTCCCCCAATTTTATTTTTCAATTATAGTTCACATTCAGTATTACTTTGGGTTAGTTTCAGGTGTATAGCATAGTGGTTAGACAATCATATACTTTACAAAGCATTCCCCCCTGATATTTCCAGTACCCACTTGGCACCATACATAGTTATCACAATATTATTGGCTATATTCCCTGTGCTGTACTTTACATCCCCGTATTTTGCCATTTCTATCTGTGGATCTCATGTCCGGTCTGACCTTGTACAGTCACTGAGATTTTCACAAGCACATATGAAAGCCCATGTAAGTGTTATCACTGCTCCTACAATTAACCATCTCCACATAGTCAACAAGCAAGCAATGACTGAGCACCCACCACCACCTCCGAGACCTTGTTCCCTGGTAGGTTTCAAAGCAGGAAGGAGGCAAATTCAGTCCAGTGTCCTGAGGGTTATAGTCCAGGTCTATAGGGAAGGGGACTGCTCTGGGATCCGCCGTGGTGTGGTCAGGACAGGCCTCCTCGAGAGGGTTCAGGCTGAATGTGACAGGAGCAAGAGGCAGCAAGCTGAGGGGAGAGGAGAGTGGGACCGTCGCCTTCCTAGCAGTCCCTCCACTCTTCCTCCCCCTCCCCTCCCGCACTTTTCACACGGAGAGAAGTTTCTGCGGTGAACACCTAACTTTGCTGTCCTCTCTCTTCTGAGTCACAGGGAACTGCAGATGAAAGAGCGCCCCTCATACGAACCTAACCGTGGCCTGAGCTTGGTGAAGGAACCCTGCTGAGCTGTCCTGACCCAGATCAGACAGACATGGGGAAGCCGTCCAGGTCCTCACAGGCTCCTGGCCTGTTGGGAGAGGAGGGAGAGGAGCCGGAGCTGGCAAGCGAGGAGAGCGTTCGGGCCAGCTGATTTGTTCGCTGTTAGGCTTTATCAGGTCCTGTGGTCCCTGACGAAGTGTTTTGTTTTTCATGTGTCTAGCAAGTATTTAATAAACTCTCGTATAGTAATTTTGTTGTCGTTGGGCTCTGGTAGCTCCAGAATTTTGTGGCCACTGCTGTGGTCCTCATGTCTGCATCAGCTGTTAATGCTACTTGGTCTAACCTTGTTCAGTGCTCTTGGTTCACTGAACTCTGTGCTCAAAATACGTAAATACCATTTCCTGTAGTCCTCCATTCACGTCACCCCAAAGCCAGAAGCAAGCAAGGGCTCGGAACCCAGGGTAAAATGGTCTCATTGCGTACATCGTTCAAATATACCTAATTCTCTCTTTTCAAAAGTTATATATTGCATTGTCTGCTCACCGTCAGTTCATAATTCCTCCAGGAAAATAATTTGGTCTTCTGAGTACTTTCATACTGAATAGGAATCACGTGGGAAAGGGGCTGGGTGGAGTGAGGCACCTAATGAGTCCATAGTGATGAACACCTGAGGATTTTTTACTTGTACTTTTGTGAATCAAAAGAATGCATAGATAATGTTGGTGAGGGCAATTCAGGTATTTCATATAGAGTAGAAATAAATGCTAGTTCTGACATTTGTGGGTCTTATTATTTTCTTAGTCAAAATGATCTTGATGTGGAAAGGTGTTCCTGGGAGAATGTGATCAATAACTGATTACCCCCCCATCACCCCTGCCAAATAGGAACTGTATTAATTACAATACTATTGATTATTTGTAAGCTTATTTGTAAGTATAGGAAATCCATGCATCCACAGCCTAAGTTGCACATAAATTTCAGGAAGTGTGACTACACTAAAGAGACATTTCTTCTGGGACAGTCTTTTTGGTAACTTTCAAATTGTTTTTGTTAAGTTCTTCTTTCCTCCAGTTTGGTTCCTTTGGATGTTTTGTGGCTCAGTGTTACTCACTGAAGAGGGAAAAATGTGCCCTACATTTTCTGTGACAATCAGAAAAAGTGTTTTAAAATATTGCACAGAAAGTGGTTTAAAGGTCCCTTGGGACCAGACACAGAATCACCTCTCTTGAGAAGACCTCTTGGTTTTCAGTGTAACCTAAGTCAGAGGACTGGGAGCCATCCTATGTCACAGAATTCAAGCATATTTAAGGGCAATTTTTTTTTTATTCTCAAAGTTCAATATTCATTTTTGATTGAGAAACTTATAGTTATCTGACAAAGTGCACACAGAATTTCTTAACAACTGAATAATTCTATAGTTTTGTTTAAAACTGGATTTCAGTGTAAACAAATGAAAGGAAGAGAAGCCATGGATTTCACAAATACAGCTTCTGATCCATGAGGTAATAAATTGCTTTAGTTTATTTGCCCCAATTTCCCCTTTCTTGAAGGGGCAACTCATTAAAATCTCAACGTTTCTATAAATATAGAACCTATAGTTACCCCAAATCAATGAAATGTGAAAAACTAAATTGAAAATATTTTGTCTTCAATAATGCCAAATATCTAGATTTTTTGAATTTATCAATATTTAACTTGATAATTGTCATCTTATTCTTTTATGCATCCACTTACCCAGACTAATAAAACTGATAAGCCAGTGCATAGTCACTAGTTCATCCTATTATCAGGATATAATCACCTGTGGAGGAAATTTTTAATTATGAATGATAACAGTTAATGATACACACGTTTAGACTGAATCCCACACAGAGGGAGACCAAAACCATATTATTTCCATATGATTCTTAATAGTTACTTGGCTTAAAATCACATTTGGTATTTTCCTTCTGAGAAGTCTGTGGCAAACCCATAAAACTGCAGTCAAGATAATAGATTGGTTAAGAAGCAGGAATGTGCCACCTATTTGGTTTCAGATTGAAAATAACACACTGCTCCTCATGCTCACTCTCGCGGAGCCATTATCCTGGAAAGGCCCCCAAAGTCCTTGTGATTGTGACAATCACAGAAGACCGGTGTCCTGTACTGTGATACTCAACTTAGGTAGAAACCGAAACAAGAGAGGTTACTCACTTCTCTCAGGGAAAATAGGGAGTTGAACACAGGGTAGGAAGCAGGCTTGGCCACTTTTAGCTCCAGGCTTTTCCCCGTAGGCTTTTTCCCCTAACTTCTAGAAAGATCACTAATGGTCAAGTGAAACAAGTACTATACAACTAACCCCTATCGGGGTTTTTACTTAAAGGAGGCTAATTTTTTATTTACATTGCTCGAGATATGAGTTCTGCAAAAGGTGACCTTCATACTTGGCCCTCTCGGCATTATTACTGGAATTAATTGCTTGTGGCTGTTAAAGAGAATACTGACCCGAATGCTCTTCAAGTAGCTTGTATAGTTGGTTCATTTCATGTGATTCTTGACATGTTTATTTCTACCCTTAATGCAATGAAGTATTTCACTAATAAAAAATCATTTATATGAAACTGCACTGGAAATTGTATGTTATGTCATCAGATATCCAGTTGTCTATGGAATTTTATTTGAAAGACGCTCCTTGCCCTCTTGTCTGACTCAGGCCTGGGTCACACCCCTTGGGCCACCTCTGATTTCAGCTCAACTGTGGTGGGCAGTCATAGTCAGCCAGACAAGTCCCATGCAAGCAGGTCCCAGGGTGTGCTTTTCTGCCTCAGGGCTTTCTCCAGAGCAGTGGAAGCCCATCAGGAGCCGGGAATTAATACCCCCAGGGACAAGCTCACAAGCTCAACCAAAGGTGGCAGGAATAAGCTGATAAATGTTCATCCTCAGGGGGACAGTGTTCAGGCTCATTCTACAAGGTTCCTCAGCTAGGATGGCCGACGGTGGACAATGCTTCCTGTTATCATTTCTGCATTCCCTGTCTCACACTCCTCCAGCCTCACTGCTGCTTCCTCCCAAATAACCTACCTGCGCTAATACCCTTATTCAACCTGCTTCCAGATAATTTCTGTGATTCTGCTCTGGTTCTTCTTCTACCTCTCTTATTAACACTGGTGCTCAGGTGCAACCTCTTCTCACTTGATACTCCCTCCCTGACAGTCCTATTGACTCGCTCTGCTCAACCTCAGCCTCACACATCCAAACCACTGGTGGATACATATCCTCAGCCAGGTTGTCCTCAAATGCAGCAAGTAAAGAAAGGAACTCATCTTCTCTTGTCTTCTTCCCAAATTCCCATTACTAGGTAATGACATCACAATTCACCCAGCTGTACAAGCCAGAAACCAAGGACTCCTGCCGCACCCCTCCTTTGCCTCCCCTCCCCTCCACATCCCATCGGTCAAGTGCTTCCCATTTGGGCGAGTCTCTGCTGTCCTCGTGGGAATATATCAGAGCTCTCACCGGGACCCCTGCAATTACTATAAACATTAGTTTTCTAAACAGGTAATCAACTTATATTTTCAAAAAGCATAAAAGGGATTTATAAAGAAAAGTCTTCCTCCACCCATCTCCTGGCCACTCAATTCACCTTCAAAGAGGCCGCCTATGTTAATTTATTTTTTAAAATGTATCTGTCCAGGAGTACTTTATACAAGCATGTGTATTATATATTCTAGCCCTCTTCCCCCCACCTGATTGTAGCACACCATATACAGTGTTCTAAGTTATTTTTCTGTAACTTACAGTTCCCATTTCATGTCTGAACAGCATTCTTTTGTATACATCAAACCTGTTTATTTCCAACAATCTTTTCTTATAAATAATGCTGCAACGAAAAACCTTGTGTTCCATAATCTTGCCAAGTCATTTACAGGACAGAGTTTCGAGGTGCAAGGGCATTTGTAATTTTGACAGATACAACGGCTTCTTAATTTGTTTTTGCCTTTATTAAAGTTATACAAGCACACAGATTTAAGAATCAAATAATTCTACATGGTTTGTTATTTAAAAAACCTAGAGGGAGACGTCATTTTCAGAGGCACCACTTTTCGCCCCCCACTTTTTGAAAAGTTTACTCCCATGACGCCCCGCGACACGGCCTCCCGAGCTTTCAGGTTCAGCACCACTGGCCTCCCGCGGCGGAGGAAAAGCGGTTGGATCTCGCCTACCCCGTCTTCACTACACACTGGTCCGCGCACCTTCTCCGGGGACCTCCCTCCGGCAGTCTGCGAGGCC